AATTCCCCCGACAAACCCCCCCCCCCCCCCCGAGAAGCCCCGCCATCCCCGACAGACCAGGAGCAAATTCTCGCGTCTACTTACAAAATCCCCTCTTTAATCTTTCTTCGAACCTTCCCTCCACTTTGTTCTGTGCCGCTTCCCGATATTTATCTATTTCGCCATTACGTCCGTTCTCCCGCCGAGTTTCTCCTTTTGTTCACTGCCAATTGGATTATCGTGACTTTACTCGATTTAGTTCCTCCCCCTACTTTTCCTCAAGAGAAATCATTAAGCGGTCCGACTAAACTCTCTCTCTCTCTCTCTCTCTTGGTTTCTCCCGTAACTATTTCTACGCTCGTCTCGTAAACGAATACCACTGCGCGCGTTTACAAGTATATCGCTAATAGCGCGCATGGAAAAGGTGGACTTTCGAAGGAAACGACGGAATAGAGCGTTACGACTACCGTTCTTTTCATACAGCGGATGTTTTCCACGATCGTGCACGACGCTTCGGCGTAATCCGCACGAGGTGTTAAGAGCCGCACTGCGGACACGTGGTAACAATGGTAACACGCTCGACGTATTTAATCAAGAGAGAGAGAAAGAGTGAGAGGAGGGGAGAGGGAGCGATTGTGCGCTATGGGTGCCGCGCTAACTGACCGTCTCGTGATCGTTACGCGAGCGATTAACGCGCGTTTCCGCGTGAGCGGGGGGCCTGCGATCGGTTATGAACGCACGAAGGATTTCGTTTTCCCCCTTTTGCGAATATTCCTTTTTCATCTCTCGGCCGACCGTGATCGCGATCTTTACGACACGCATGCGAGCGACCCGTGTTTCATAAAGTAAGGATTATACTCTATAAATTTCTTGAAGTGAAACCTCATTCGAAACAAGTGAAAATTCACTCCGAGCGATAGTGAAAATACCAGTCTAAGTGATAGCGAAAGTACTAGAAAATCTAATATTTTACAATCGAAATGTAATATTACGTAGATTATTAAAGTTTTGAAAATATTAATAATATTTAAAAGAGAGATGGAGTAATTTTTTAAATATTTTTATCACAATATTTTCCCCCTTTTCCGTATGAAATGTAATTGTCAATTGAAATTGCGAACCGAAAAAGGGATACAACGGCTGGATACTAGGACTGTTATAGTAAGGCTCGATCATCTTTTTGCTTATAACATACGCTATTCAGGTAAGGTTAGATTCGGTATGAAATGAAAATATTCACTCCGCGAGATACGAAGTGAAAGAATTCGCTCTATAAAAGTGAAAAGTCGCTCCAACTCGAGTGATTCGATAGTTACTCCATTTTTCGAACGGAACTTCATTCCACGACAAATTATCCGCTCCACGTCACAGAATAGAAGAATTCACTCGATAAGAAGGAAAAGTCACTTTAATTCAAGAGTTACTTAGAATTCACTCCGTATTTCGAGTGGAGATTTAATTCTAAGAAATTTAGAAATCTAACGGAGCAGGCTGATACACTGTGGTGTGAAACCACGGACAACGAGAGAGAGAGAGATTCCGCGCGCGATCTGTAATTTTAAAGATGCAAACTCGCATCAATTTTGTGATATTTCCAAAAAAGAGGAAGAAAAAAAAATTCGTGAATCCCGAATCGCGGCAGGAACTCGCTCGCTCATTCGTCCGGCTCGGTTGACCGATATCGGACGCGTTTTTCGAAAACCGCTGATGCGTGTCCCTACTGTGCGAACATAAAATCTGCATTGAAATCCACCGGTCGAGAACGGCAATATGTCTCACGTCCGAGCATGTAGTCAGCCATGAAATACTCGGACAGAGTGCGTCAACGGAGCGTCTGAAAATTCATTGTTCATGGCGCGTAGCCATAGCGCGTGGCCTAGCGTTTCGCGTTTCTATGCGAGCGCGGGACCGAGCGAAATGGAAACCGCGTGCCAAATACGCTCCTTTCCTCTCCGATTCTCCCGGCTGGATTTGACGAGTGCGTCGATTCGGCCTTGCGCATTTCACACACGTATGAGTTATACTTTACGACAGAGAGCCCGCGCGGATTACTCAACGACGGCGGGGAAGAAAGTCGGCGGCGCGCTCTCCTTCCGGATTGATATTTACCTTCCGCGGGAGAGGCCGTGATATTCGGCTAATCTACCTGACAGATTTACACTTTGCCAAATGAGACGTTAAGCGGACCGGACGACTGTAGATTCTCGTTCAAGCGAACACGCGTTATCGCGTATTTTTATCACGGCCGACAACAAGTGCGTAATAAACCGACTGTGAGGAGAGAGAGCGCGCGCGCGCGCGATGTAATTTTGGTTTAGCGTTATAGAACATGATTTACACGGGGACGAACGCGCGCGCTTTACAACGTCGCGATTTATGACATCGCCGTAATGCGCACGGCGCTCCATTATCTTCCGCTTCCGCTGCGTTCGTCCCGCCACTTTCGCCCCCTAATGCGCAAACTGCGAGCGCTGTCAATCACTCAGCCTTGAATCACTTCGCCTTCCGGGGAGGGAAAGGGATGAGAGGGCGCCGGCTAACGAAATGACTGTGCCTTAAATATTTCAGCGTGCTCTTTTTTCTTCTCGTTTCAGCCTCTTTCGCCTATCCGTCGTCCTCTCGCTCCCCGTTTCCGTGCCGTCGATGGCGACAGAATGCAAATTTGTCCGCGTCCATTGGCGTCGATGCTGCTGTGCTGCTGCTACTACTAATCGATTGATTGCCTCTCGCCTCGAGATAGCGGACGCTGATCGTCGACGCGATCTTTAAAATTGCAAATGAGCCCGATCGTTCCGTTTGCGCGATTAATTTGATCAAGACGACGCTCAGTTACTTACGAATCGCGATAACGGCGCCAGTCGGAAACAATCGGACGGATAATGTATAATCCGCGCGAGGCAGCCGTTCGAGAGTGTAATAAAAAGGTAAAGGAAAAATATCAGATTAATAGATTCACGAACGCGCCACTGTTATCGACGACCCCATTTTGCGTCTCGGGTCAAATGTGTGCTGCGCTTTTTCTCTCCCCTCCCCTCCCGTGCTTTTTAAACTGGGTTACGTCTATTTCAGCGCAAGGTGGCTCGAAGGGGATCGTTTGGACGGGCTCTCCGGGCTTTTATTATGACAAGCCCGTACCTTACGTGGGTTATGATGGCTATGTGGAATGCAGGCATCGTCCCCGACGTGTTAAAGAGGGTGGCTAGTGCCTTTTATTCGTGTGCGTATAACGTGAATGCGCCGTCGGCGTGCGCACACGGGAGGGAAGAAGGAGGTAGGAGGGGGAAAAAAGGAAG